AGGACCTTGCTGCTAACAGGACCACTCTGCTAGCAGAACCTCAGTGTTAACAGGACCATACAACTAACAGGACCATGCTGCTAACTGTAACAGTGTTTCATAACACTGGACGGCTGTGGCTGAGTGGTTAGATCAGTCGTCCTCCAATACAAGAATTGGGGGCTCAACTCCACCAGCAGTCACATGCCGAAGTGTCCTTGGGCAAGACACTGAACCCCTCATTGTCTCTGATGTGTCCCATCAGTGTCTGAATGTGATAAAGCTCTGATTAGTCTCTAGAATGATTTGTTCAATTATCTTTGTAGAGATCTAGTATAGAGCTGTATGAACGGGTCAATGAGGCACAGATTGTAGTAAAGAGCTTTGAGTATGTTGAATAGATAGAAAGGCGCTGTACAAGTACAGTCCATTTACCATTCATAACAGTATTTTTATTTTAATTGCTTTGTATTGTTGTATATTGTTGTCTGTCTAAAACAGGTCTCTCTTGAAAATGATTCCTTGTGACTCAGTGAGACTAACCTGTATAAATAAAGATTAAATTTAAAAAGGGGTGCACAGAGTATCGATTACTAATAGAGAAAAAAATCATGTATTGATGCATCAGGATATAACATATAACATTGAAAAAGTGAGTAGGGTCTAAATATTTTCTGAAGTCACTGTAAATTCTTAGTCCTATACTTTTTTGTGTAATGATTCATGTTTCATGTCAAGCCATGCCCATGTATGTGTGTTTTCTGGTTGTCCTGCTAACTTCTCCACTCATCAGCTTCACTCAGCTCACCTGTGCCACTCCCGGTCTCCCTCCTGCTGCACCTGTGTGCTGCACTTCTTAAGTGCTCCCCAGTCTCTGCCTCCCTGCCAGATTGTCTGATCACCCTGTGCCTGAAGAAATCCAGCGTTCTGGTTCCTGCTCTCACTCTTGTTGCCAACCCGCCTCATGACCACAGATCCCTCTCCTTTGCCCATGACACATAACTTCTGCCCATCGGATATCTGGACCTTTGCTTCTGCTCTACCTTCTGACCACCGGTCCCCACTAAAAGCCTCTTATTGCCTTCTCTGCCTCTCTGTGAATGACCCACGCCTCCTTCTTGACCACGCTCTCGGACACTGGGTTCAAGGATTTGTTAGTTCTCTGAACCAAGTCTCAGTAACTGAAGAGAAGTGTTTGCTGGACCCTCCAGGTAACTCTCACGTGATCTGGCTGTAGCTCCGTCCCTCCAAACCTTCCTCCTCTCTGACATCATCGAAGCTACTGCATCCCAACTCTGCAGGTTAGTTGATCAGAACCCCTCACGCTCTCTCAGCCTCCAGACACAGTCCCAGTCTCCCAGTCATCAGCTCGTTTCTTCTTCCTGCAGAATTTCAGCTGACGTACCCCATCAGGAGTTATTTTTCTGACAAATCCTCAATAAATCTTTTCGTTCATTCCTGTGCTGTGGTTGAATTTACAGGTCCCAGTTGTGAATTGTTACAGTTTGTACTGTCCCAGCTAAGTTCTTCTTGCAGCTTGTCCATTAAACAAAAGCCACCTAATATTTTCAGTATCATGTAGCTTACACTGGAATATACAATCAATGAAAATTCTTAATTCCTGTTTAAATTTTAGAACTGGACTCCTGAATCACGCTGATAAATAAAATCACATGAATCTTACGGCCTCACACGATCTGCAAGCAGCTTGATTTTCATATAGGTATCGGAATCATATTTGAATGTCAAGTGACTTTACTGGAACTGCTGCAGTCAATATGACTTCTGCTAAGTAACTATAGCAACAGTTGAAAGGCTCTTTAAAAGTACTCCCATAGGTTTATAATAACAGGAAAGGGCTTGGACGGCACATGGGGGATGGAGCATGAGGGAAATACTGTATCTCTCTACTACAGACATGTTCTATAGAGCTGCAGAGTGAGCGCCTGCAGTATGGGGGTCCTCAGCAGGAGTTTAACACAGATTATCACAGTGGGCCGTATTAAGCTTGTTGAAAACAATACAGGGTTAATGGGAGGCTTTGGAGTCGACCCTCTAATAGAGTGGGCTGTCATAGTAAGGATACAGCCATCAGGAAGCAGACAATAATGTACCCATGCTCTGTCTCTACAGATAAACAACAAGAGCAAAGAAATGTACATGGAGCAGCACAAAACTAACTGCAGGACCACTGCTGTTTCTAGTGTCCTGCCTCGTCCCTTCAGCAGACAGACGGACTGGTGTTAGTTGGCTTTTCAGACTTTATTTGACGTGTTATATGTTTCACAGTTTCCATTGAATTTGTTCATGCATTTATTCTATTTTGAGGGACAGTTCACAACACTTTAACTGTCACAGGAAACTAAAACATATGATTTAGTTTGTTTTTCATTCACTCAACCTTTATTTCTTCAGGTTAGTCCCACTGAGCCTCGAGGACTCATTGACACAGAGACCTGAGTTTAACAAAGAGTGACGACAACAGTGACAATCATAAAAGAAAGTATGTAAAATGAAAAAATAAATAGAAGAAAATGGTATAAAAAAACGGAACAAAACATCTAGATTATAAGGCGGTGTAGAAACTAAAAACAGGAACATCTGCAGGAACTGAACAGATGTTTGAAGCCACTTGGAGAGGTCAAAGGTCGAGAGCTTCAGATCTTTTTACAAGATATTCCAGGAAACAGGAGCGGAGTAGGAGAAGGTCCTTTTGTCTAGTTCAGTCCTCACTGAGGGAACACTGCAGGTAATGATGTCCTGAGAGCGCACGCTGTAGCTGCACTCACACAGAGACATGTAGGAGGAGATGTATGAAGGCAGCAGACCAAGAAGTGATTTAAAGATGGAAATGTACCAGTGAGAGAGTCTGTGTGAAGTTAATGGTGACCAGTTACCCAGTGAATACTGGGTGCAGTGGTGGTACGGTAGTTACAGCCAGTTATGAATCTTAGTGCACCGTGATAGACAACGTTAATGCCATGATTAAAACCTCTTGCTTTTAGTAGTAAACCATAGAAATGACTTGGTTTTAGATGAGTGGTTACAACTATTACTGAAGTAAAAGGGCAGTAACGTGAAATTCCCTCTCTATCCAGCTGTGCTGAAGGGATTGTGTGGATGAAGAAGATGGGTCAGTGGGGGTAGAACTAGAAGTGCCTCCTCCTATGGTTAATATTACATGACCTGACCATTAGACGCCTCGCTGGGAGCAAGACTTGGGGCCCCGGGGCCTCAGGGCTCTCAGGTGCTCTGGCATTGGGAAGACAGTCTCGTAGGGAGGAGGTTCAGGTGCAGTTTCTGACTTGGCTT